ATCCCATGTGTGGCAGGCAAATTTTAGACAAGCAAAAAGTGAATGGTAACAACTGGCCACTGCTGTAGCTTTCATTCGCCAAAATCTACCTTGCTATTCCTTTCTATATATTTTTGAATATATATATATATATACACACACACACACACACACCACTACCATACAAAAGTATACATGGTGTCATGCCTTACATTCCCAAAATGATTTCATTTATATCTAGCCACAGTTCACCAAGTACAATCTTTTTTTTTTTTTTTTTTTTTTTTTTTTTGTACCGGGGATTGAACTTGAGACCATGTGCTTGCAAGTCAGGAGGCAGAACCACTGAGCCACATCCCTAGCCCACCAAGTACAATCTTGCAATGAGTCATCACTCTCAGGATGCCACTCCCAAGGTAGCACATGTGTAACTTTCACTCCTTGGGGTCAGCTTCAAAGGAGATACACCTCTACTACTTCCATACTTTCATGTCTGATTTTGCTCCAGAGTCTCTTCTCTGCAAGGTCTGTCAATTCCTGCTCGTGGAAGCCCCCCTCTACCTTCCCACACCTTTCCTCCACCATTTCGGTGCTTCATTCTTAGGTTTCAGGGTTGAGTCTCCTCTCCCCATATTTACAAAACTCAGGCAGGTTGGGTAGCTGGTGAGATGCTATCTGGGACAACCTTATCTAGCTACAAAGTGTGAATCAGTGATTACACCATATGGGGTTGGTGCCAGCCAGGCGGGCTGCCATATTGCCAAGTAACCTAGTGGTTGAACCAGGTTGGGTTGAGTAATATCCACCAATGGGAGAGGAGTTTATTAATCATGCAGCATAGTACCCTGTTGACGAAAGTGTAAATCTGAAGGCCTGATTTGACTGGAGAAGGAACAGGTGGGGCAGTTTGGTAACTATGAAGACACCCAGTGATAGTATCTTCAGCTCTGACAATATTCAATTGAAAAACACACAGAAATCTGGAAGGAAACTGCCAGTTTAGCAAAGAGATGGATTTCCAGCAGTCTTGGATTCCTTTTGCTAAAAAACAGTATCTCGTTGTGGCTTTCTATAAAGCTGCAGCTTGGACTTCTTAGTTTCATGAGGTGAGAAAAAGGAATTCAAGATGGCAGCCAGTGCCCTAGAGTTGTTTGGGTACAAGAATTTAAGATTCCATACTTCTCTTTACTCATCTCTCACTTCAAAAACATTCTTTTCTAAGGCTCACCTCCTCCACCCAGCTGTGGCCTCGACTTCTTGGTAACTATAGCCAACCAGAAAGACCACCCATATTTCTCAGCATGTTGGGCCTGCATTAGTGTGGCAAGAGCAGTTTCTGAGCAGTGACACATTTCTGTGGCTTCCAGGTTGGCCTAGTTGGCATCTCAAAGGCTGAGACACTGGTCCCTGTCACATTCTGGTGCTATGTTTACATAGCCCAGTGTCATGCACCAAGCTTCAAACTTTGGTGAAGCAGGTCATACATACATGAAACACATGGCAGAGAAGCCCAGGCGAGTGTTCCACTTGACAGGCAGGAGGAAGGAGAGGGAGGACTGAATTGTCCAAAGACTGCCCTAGAAGAAGCCTCACAGGGATAAAAATTTCTAAAGTAATAAAGTGAGCAGAGAGGATGGAGATGCAGACACAAACAATGAAGGGCAGGTATTTCATCAAGAGCAAGGGGTAGAAACTCCAGGTTGGCCAGTCACCTCAGTTAAGGATGAGAAATGTTCTGGGGATGACAGCTTGCAGGGCAGGGGAATCACTGATTTCATGGGAGATAGAAATCATATGATGCCGTGAGTTGAGTTGATGCTACACAAACTTTCCCTGTGTATTCTCCAAACCCCAAATGTTCTTTCTTCTCTTAAAAGCATCAGATCTTTGGGTCATTCATTAAAAACAATTTCCAACAAGGCTCAACTTTCCCAGGCATTGACAAGTAGTGAGGCTTAGGGGAATCCTGTCCAAGTGAGATTAAAGTTGTAGAACTTTAAAACCTGATTTTCCCCCAATTATCTGACCACAAAAGAGCTGCCAATCTCTCTGGTTATCTTGCCAACCCCAAAGAGCCCCTGTCAAGTCTCCACCTGCTTTCTAGACTTCAAAAGCTTAAGCAAGAGAACTACTCAGTGTGGCTAGAGGCCCATCAAGGTCCTATTGGGGAGTTCTTTAAGACCACTGGAGAAATAGTTCACAAACTGAGATTTATACTTTGGAAACCACAGGGAAGGTTCTAGAAAATTCCAGTCACAAGCCCTGACTCTCATGAGTTTATCCAACTGTTCACTTAATTTCCCTGGCAGTTAGAGTCTCCCAGAAGGATGGAGTGGAATCCTGTTCTCCTAAAATCATGGTAAGCACTCAACATTGGATATGAAACACCACAATCTATATAAAATTCTGAGCAACTTCCTGTAACACCAGGTTCCACATTTCCACTTTAAGAGTACTCAGAGCAAGGACAGCAAAACCAAGCATAACAACCTATGAAACAAACTACCAGCCAAAAACAAAACAAGACAAAAAACAGGCCAAACCAAAACTTTATGCTATGAAAACAAGAAATAAAATAAGGAGATTTAAAGGCCGGCTGATTGTCAGCAAACACAATATATTTACTGTATTGGCATTTGCTCACAGTGCAAATGGTACAACATTACACCATTTCAATATTTCGGTTTTTAAAAATGCTGTTTTCATTAACTATATTATATTGGCATAACAATGTGACAAAGGAGCAAATGAAATGTTGGTGAAGAATTTCACCTTTTCACAATATCAAGCATTTTTTAACCTTAGTATAAGGTACTATAAATCCAAGAAATAAAAACATCCACAAAATATATTACATCTGGTTTGTCTTTTTCTAAGTACTCAACTTTATACAAAAGTCTTTCAAAAAATATCATTCCCCATAGGTTTTCCTGTTTAAAACTTGATTTTTTTTTCTCTCAGTTCACATAAGTTAAGAGTGCATTTTCTTCTGTTGGTTTTTAAAACATGCAGACATATAAAAAAATCCCAATAGCACAACCTTTTGGCAACAAAGTTATTTTTCTCTTAGTTTAGCTTAAATGTCTGAGAACAGTTTTATTAAAACAAAGGAAAACTCAGAGTTACCATGCAGTGACATGCATATTCCAGAAGGAGCAAGGAAAAAATATTAAAGGATCTCTGATTCCTCCTTCCAGCTTTGAAGTGACCAAAATTTGTGTTTTTTTAAATAATCATCACATTATAAAAAGTATTCAGCAAAATACTGTCTCTGCAAAGAAAGATTTTACCCTTCAGCTGAAAAAATATGGGCCCTCCTGGCAAACTTCATCATCTTCTCTCTCCTACAAAAAGCCCGAGTACCTGGAAACTCACAATCCCCCTGCTCTTTGGGTTTCTCTCCCCTTTCACTAGAGTCCTTTTAGTATTATTTAGCCACCACCAAAACGGTGCCTTTTTTTTTAATTAAAAAAAAGTGGGAAACGCATAAAGTGACTTTAAAAACAGACATTCTGTAAACTCCAGACCTTTGTTCCTTCTCTCTGGGCAGCTTTCTGGCCACAGGAGAAATAACATGAATAGGGAACAGTACATTCAGTCAAGACTGTGCTAGAAGCTGTCAGAGAGTTCCCTTCCCTACTTCTCCATTTGGAAAGGGCCACGCTGTTGAAGGGCTGGGAGGGACAGCTGGGGAAGAGGGGGTGCCTGAGAAGAGGTGAGGTAGGGCAGGGAGAAGGTGCGACTGGGTATGGAAAAAGAGATGCTTCATTCATTAATATGGATTAATGCAAAAATCCTCATGTATCTTAGAGGAAAATTTGGACAGAGATGTGTGTATGCATATATGTATATATATATACACACATATATGCACATATGTGAGTATATATATCACACATGCATACACACATGTAGATATAATCTCATCAGTTAACATTTTCATAAAAATAAATCATTTAAAGCTGTATATGCCTACAGAGACTCTTTATTCCAGTGCGTTGCACTGGATTACCGGGTACCTTAGAGATTTGTTTTTGCTAGGAATACATACTGTGTGTATATTATATATATGTATGTCTGTGCATTTTATACACACATACACACACACCATATACATATAAATTCTGTTGTGTTGGGCAAAAAAAAAAAAACCCCAAAAAACAAAGCAAAACAACCCCCCCCACCAAAAAACAGAGCCAGCTCTCTGGGAAGGAGAAATGGGTACGTGAGTGAGAGAAAATGGAAAGCTGGTGTCTGGATGCGGCCTGCCTTTCTGGGAAAAGATTCTGAGACACACTTGGAGGAGGCCAAGAGAAAAGGGAGGAGGGGAGTGAGGAAGGACAGAGGGAAAACTCAGGAACCCATGTTCTTGAGAAGTGGGGCCGAGAAAACGCGTTTTCAAAAGGCAGGCTCAGTGATGATGCTTTCTCCCCGCAGATCAAAGTGCCCTGAGGCCTAAGAGGGAAGCACTCGGAAAAGGAGGGGTTCTGAGGGGTCAAACCCAAAGCGGTGGCAGCAGCACCGCGGCGGCGGCGGCTTCCGAGGCATTTCTGTAAGAAACATTATTTCGGAGCAGGTGGAAGACCATCTCCTCCTGCCACGTGCAGGTCCCCAGCCCCATACGTCCCCCGGCGGCTTGGGGACCCGATGTGGGGAAGAGTTTGGGGTAGACACAGCCCAGTTCAGCTCAAGAGTCTCACACACACGCGTGCGCGCACACACACACACACACACACACACACACAAACACACGCGAGCACGCACACATTCGCGCGCATCCCCGCACGCAGGCGCGCGTGCGTGCGGCGGGCAGCAAGCTCTGCGCTTTGGTGCGCTCCATACCCCCTCCCCTTCTCGGGTCTTCGATGGGGGACAGAGGGAGACACAGGGGAATCAGTGAGGTGCTTGGGTCTGGCGAGGGTTGGGTGATCCCGCTTCAGTCCCCCGCAGGTCCTGGGCGCGGCCCAGCGGCCCCTGGATCAAGGCGATCCGAACTGAACAAAGCGGGCTAGACGCCACCTTTCCGCCCCCACGCTTCGGTTAAGGGGGGGATGGCGAGGGGAAGACGCCTCCAGCCTTGGCCCCCCAACTGCTGGCGGGTGTGAAAGGGTGGGACTGGGGGCATCGAAGGGTGCGAGGGGCCGCACGTCCATGGAGAGGCCAGGGCGCGGCCCCTGCGCCTCCGTGGCTGGCTTTCCCGCTGCTTTTAAGTGAGCAGCTGGGAGGCACTGGAGGGAAAAAGAGGGGCCCTGGGAGCCCGAGCTTCAAGCGCAGGTGGTGACCACTGGGGCCAAGGACACCGAGGGCGCGGAGGACGCAGAGGGCGCGCCCCCTTTCTCCGCCTTCTTCTCCTTTTGCTTGAGGTGGATCTTGGCGTGGCGCTTGCGCTCGTCGCTTCGCGCAAACTTGCGCCCGCAGAACTCGCAGGCAAAGGGCTTCTCGCCCGTGTGCGTGCGGATGTGAGTGGTGAGGTGGTCGCTGCGGCTGAAGCTCCGCATGCAGATCCGGCACTGGAAAGGCTTGTGGCCCGTGTGGATACGCAGGTGCCGGGTCAGCTCGTCCGAACGGCTGAAGCGGCGGTCGCAGCCCTCCGCTGGGCACGCGTGGGGCTGCTTGTCTTTGAAGGCCTTGATGGTCTCCAGAGGGGTAATAGGGGGCGGGTTGACCCGGATGGGGTCCATGCCCTGGAAAGGCTTGTGCTCCGGAATGGAGCCCATGTCGTTGGGGTGGTGGTATAGGTTGTAGTCAGGAATCATGGGGAAGAGATTGCTGTCCAAGGCCGGTTTGGCCGATTGATAATCCTGCGGGGAATAGGCGAGCCCAGGGTTGCCCTGGGGGTCGTGGAAAGACACGGGCTCCGAGTAGAGATCACCGCAGTTGGAATAGGGGGGCAGAGCTGGATACATGGCTTCCACGTCTCCCTGCGGCGGCTGCACCATGCTGCTGGCCGTGGACGTCTGCGTGCTGAGCGCCCCTGAGGCCGGGGGCACCCCCAAGATGCCAGCGCTCATGAGGCTAATGATGTTGTCCTGGCACCAGTTGGAAGGGGAGTCGAAAGCGAACTTTCCCAAGTAGGTCACGGTCTTGTTGCCGGGGGCTGGCTGGAAGGAGCCCGAATAAGAGAGTTCCGGGTTGGGCTTCTCGTTGGTCAGACCGATGTCCATCACATTCTCTGGGGAGAGCGAGGGAGAGAGGGGAGGGGTGAGTGAAGCCGAGCCGGCTCTGGGACGTGGCTCCCAGGTCCTCGCCCAGGTACTGTGGGTGCGGCCCGCTGGAGTGCGCAGCGCGTGGGTAAGAGGAACGCTGAGCCCCGCGCAAAGCGGGCGGTGCCGCGCTCCCGGGCGCAACCTGAATACAGCAAAATACTACGGATCGGGGTGTGGAGAGGCTGCGGCACACACTCGCACACGCCGCGCACACACTCACGTACCACACACACGCGCGCGCGCGCGCAGAAAGCATTGTTGTTCTTCCCGAGGTGGGGCGGGCAGGTAGCTGCAGCTACAGGTAGTTTCAGACCCGGAGCGCGCGGGGCTCTAGCTCTCCGGAGCACACAACTCGTCCTCTTTACCCGGCCCTGTCTACTCCAGGACGCCCCGCCTTTACGGCCCCGGCAATGCCCCCTTCGCGCGCTGCGCCCAGGTCGCGGACCCGGAGCTCTTCGACGCTTTGTCCAAGGAGCGTAAAAGGGTGCCGCCCGCGAAGGGAGCTCTCCTGTCGCCTCCCCCAGCCCTAGGCTCCTCCGGGCCTGAAGGAGCTTTCAGTTCTTGTTGGAAGGGAAAAGCCTAGCCCCAGCTAGCGAGGGCGGAGGGGGGAGGAAGACCCGGCCGGTGTCTCCGTGGCCGGCCGGAGCGGCCGCCCTTCCCAACCTCCGCGGTCCCAGGATCGCCCCCCGTGACAGCCCTCCCGCTCCGCGGATCCCTCTCCCCGCCGTCCCCACACCCCCACGGCTTTGCTGAACGCCCCGGAAAGGCAGCGTCGCAGTACCTCTCCCACCGCGGGGACTCCACGCCGCACATGGCTCCATCCCGGGTGGGAGGCTGAGGGAGTAAGGGGGGAGAGCGCGGGTGAAAAAGATGCTGGGCTCCTCCCGAGAAAGGGGGCGACAGCACCACGCCTTGCGCGCAGCCCGGAGATCGGGCCCCCTGCGTAGGGAAGGAGAACCCCAGAGCCGCTCGCACCTACCTCCCTCTGGTCGGCGGCTGCCCCCACCCGGGAGAACCGAAGCCTCTACGGTGGCGTCGCCAACCGAGCCTTCCCGATCGAGGAGGGCGGGGGGAGTGGGTGGGAAAAGCAACTCGTCCCCTGGATAATTCCCAGCGCCCCCCTCCATCCATCCATCCACCCATCTATCCATGCATCTAGCCATCCATCCATCCATGCATCCATCCTTCCACAGCCAGCTCCCTCCTCCTCCTCCTTCTCCTCCTCCTCCTCTCGCTTTCCTTCCTCGTTGCCTCGCCGCCTCCCAGCCGCCCTTACCTGTAGCCATCTGATTGTAATGGGCTACCGAGTCGCTGCTGCCGGAGAAGAGGTTGAGCGCGCTGGGGATCTCCTCGGGGTACAGATTGTCAGGCAGTTGGTTTAGCAAACTGCTCATGGTCACCGGCAGCTTCTCGGCGAGTTTGCCGGTCATAGCACTCCCGAGCTGACACCGCCGCCGCCACCGCCACCGCTGCCACCGCCGCCGCTCGCTCC